GACTCCCATGGAGGGGTGATTTAATGTCTCTCTGCAATAGATGGTCTTCTCTATCGCAGAAAAAACACACAAAAAACAGATAACCTTGATAATCTGCTCTGGGTGTGAAAAGCACGACTCCCAAGGGTTGGAAGGAATCAGAAACACAAAGATGTCTCAGAAGTAAGCACAGTCCTGGGGGTGGGGGGTAAAGACAGAGGACAGGGACAGGGAGGGGACCAGGAAAGAGGCACTAAGAACGCAGTGGAGGTGGGCGCTTCTGGAAACATGACAGCCGGCGGCAGGGGCTGCACATATTGTAAGTGCTGGTCTGACGGCCACGCGTGCTGCCCGCAGCCCTCAGGAGCGCCCACTGCACACACACACGCCTTGTGCCTTGAGGACATGGGCCTGCACTCCAAAACCAAGAGACGGAACAGTGACAGAGGGTGACACACAAAAAGGAAACGTTCGGAGGAAACAGCTAAGCCAAGAAACAGTAGGCAGAGGCCAGAGCACCTGGAATTTGCTGGAACTTCCAAGAGGTCCTTTGATGGCTCTGAACCTTGAGATAAGTTTTCTGAGCAAAGGCCACGTAAACCCCAAAGAATAGGGTGACCTCAGTGGACATTTGGGTTTCAACAGAAAAATTACTTACACCCACATAGCGTAAGCTGCATTTTGTTTGTATCTTAAAGATTATCTCATCCGACTATGCAATTTCACATCCATGTTTCAAAGATGTTTGGGTGACTCATACAGAGGGTTTTATGGGGTGTAGGGGGCTTGAGTGGACATTGAGATGGACACTGGACACTGAACACTGCCCAGAGGACAGGACCCACAGGTACAGCTTCAGCAGGGCCCCCAGCAGAGCACAGACAGCAGACTATTCAGTGTCCACGAAACACGGGGGACCCTCAGAACAATGAAGCCCTGGGGAGTGGAGGCCTCTCAGCAGCAGGACTGGGTGGGCTCCAGGAGCTGCCATGGTTGTGGCCCTGACTGTGCCCCCATGGGGGACGGGGGCTTGAAAGTACCAGAGAAAGTACCAGAGAGCGCCTTGTCTGCACTGCGTTTCCTGTCCTGTGAATAGAAGGATGTTCTGCTCAACATGCGCCCTCCTGAGCCTGCACGGAGCCACCTCTCCCACCCAAGCCCCTGCAGAGGACAGAAGAGGCAAACTTTCAACAAGTAGATCTGCAACTCCTTCACAAACTCAGGACCCAAAACACCAAAGCAGGCGGAATCGGATTGAAGGAGGAAACCACCGCCCAAAAGCGACATGGGATGGAACAGAAGGTGGGACGCCCAGGTCTGAGTCAGGAGGTGCTGGGTGTGGGGTGGGAGCTGGGGCACCTGACAGGGTGATCAGTGGAGATCCTAGTAGGAACAGACACACTCACACCACACATACACCACACACTACACACACTATACACATACAACACACACCGCACACTATACACCCTACACACACACACCACACACACTGCACTTCACATATTCACACACACCACACACTGCACACACTATACACCCTACACACACAACACACACTGCACATCACACATTCACACACACCACACACTATACACCTTACACATACAACACACACACCACACACACACTGCACTTCACACATTCACACACCACATACCACACACACTATATGCACTACAGATAACACACTCACATATCACACATATACACCACACACTACACACACTACACACATACCACACATCCCACATATACAACACACACACACTCACACAAACACACATCACACCACACACACATATACAGATTTGAAAATGCAGTTAACATCTGGTTCTGCAGAGAATTCTATCAGCTCATGCATAAGGCTAACACCTTTGGTATTAATATGATCAGATCTAGAAAATAACCTTTCGTATAACCAGGTTGCCACCTACTCTCATAGTACTTTTGTGTCTCAAAACAGTCATATTTGTGCCATATATGACTAGCAAAAAAGTACATACATACCTGCACACGTAAATACATAAATAACATAACCTTGTAAAGGTGTTTGCTACTTTATTATCCTGCCTGTTCGAGACTGATTTTATTTTATGAAGTTTGGTTCACGATTTTAGTGATGAGAGACAAAGACAGATGTGGGAAAGGGATGCTTCCAATTGCTAAGGAAATAACTAATATTTTCAGAAGCCATGTTGGGAAAATAAACCAAATCCAGAGGGGCAGCGTGGAGTGAGAACTGGCTTTCAGGTGCTGCCAGGTAAACAAAAGCATCATGTATCAGTTAGCTTTTGCTGCATAACAAACCTCTCCAAAACGTAATGGCTTGAAACAGGGACTATTTGTTAGTTCAGGATTCTGTGGTCAGCAGTTCTGGCTGGAGTGGCTGAGATTCTTTGCTTGGTCTTTCTCAGGCTCACCCCCACATCAACAGTCAGCTGGTGCTCAGCTGGTGGGGCTGGGGGTGGTAGAAGGAGGCTGAAAAATGGCCCCCCAAAATATTAGGTCCTAATCCCTGAAACGTGTAAGTGTTATCTTATATGGAAAAATGGTCTTTGTGGATAATTACATTAAGGATCTTGCTATGGGGAGATCACCCTAGATTACCTAGGTGGGCCCTAAATGCAATCACAAGTATCCTTATAAGAGAGAGAGGCAGAGGGAGGCTCCTGCTAGAGCAGAGGAGAATGCCGTGTGAAGACAGATCAGAGATTTGAGGATGCTACACTGCTGGCCTTGAAGATGGAGGAGGGGTAAAGAGCCAAGGACACAAGGACACAGCTGTAGAAGCTGGGAGAGGCAAGGCAAATCCTCCCCTACAGCCTCCAGAGGAAGTGTGGCCCTGTCGACCCCTTGGTTTTAGCCCAGTGTAACTGATTCTGGACATCTGGCCTCCAAAACTGTAAGAGAATAAATTTCTGTTGTTTTAAGCCACAAAGTTTGTGGTAATTTGTTGCAGCAGCCACAGGAAACTAATACTACATGAGTCCAGGATGACCCCCTCTAACTGGCACTGCTGCTGCTGCCCCCTGGGCCATGTGTCTCTAGCAAACTGACCTGGGCTTATTCACATGGTGGCGGTCTGAGGTCCCACATAGCAGCAGGAAAAGGCTGCCCAATGCGAAAGCACTTTTCAAGCCTCTGATTGGGTCACATTTGTGATGTCCCATTGGCCAAAGAAACCATGTGGATGAGCCCAGAGTCAATGGCTGGAGGGGACAGACGTCACCTCTTCACGGAAGTAGAGGCAACGTCACATTGCAAAGGGCTGCGCTTACAGGAGTGGGAGGGATTAGTAACTATTATGTAGTCCAACACATCAGCTCCTTCCTTCCCCAAAAGTCAGTCAAATAGGCTTCCAAAATCACAGTCTCCACCTTAAAGTGTCTCCAGTGCCCAACAAGGGCTCTTTCCGCTTCTTGGGATGATTTTCCACTTCCATAAATTTCCATTCTACTGAGTTTCCCCCCAGGAAACCTCCTGCTGTCTTCATTGTTCACGCTGCTATAACAAGCACACCACAGATTAGGTGCTTAGACAACAAACATTTATTTCTCACAGTTCTGGAGGCTGGTGAGTCCAAGATAAAGGTGCCAGAAGATTCGGTCTCAGAGGAGGGCCTGCTTCCTGGTTCATAGATGGCGTCTTCTCACTGTGTCCCCACATGGCAGAAGGGGGGAGGGAGCTCACTGGGGTCTCTTTTATGAAAGCACCAATCCCATCATGAGGGCTCCACCTACATGACATAATCACTTCCCAAGGCCCCATCTCCTAATACCATCACGCTGGGGGTTAGGTTTTCAACATATGAATTTCAGGAGCACAAACATTCAGTCTATAGCACCCGCTTAGCTTAGCTGGAAGAATTTACTATGGGAGATGAAGCAAAGTCACCCAGACACTCAGCATTTGACTCTAACCATCTCCTCACCCCAAATTGCATTCTTCTGCAAGTCCTGCCAGATCCACCTCAGACCTCTCCTAAAGCTATGATAGGGACCTGGTCCCAGTCATCCTAATCTCTGCCTCCTCACGCAGGCCCCCACTGCCACCCTTGTTCCTTACACACCCAGCAGCCAGTATGCTTTTCAAAACTTACACTGGATCCTGCCAGCTCCCTTGCTCTCCACATGCACATGGTCCTCCATGACGGTTAAGCCCAAATCCAAACTTATTAGCTTGGCCAACAGTGTCCTGCATTGGTCTGGCCCTGCCCACTTCTCACACATGCCCCCTGCTTCCCAAGCAGGTCTTATCACTGCCCCCCTACACTCCACACTCATTCCCACCTCAGGACACTTGCATGTGTCATACCTCTGATCTCACCCCTTCTCCTGGATCTTCCCAGTGCTCTCTTGCCAGTCACTTGGGAATCTGCTCAAACGTCACCTCCAAAGAAACCTTCCCTGACCACCAGGGGCTGTACCCAGTCCACTCCTCCTCCCAAAGCTCTCCCCATTACTTACCACTATCACCATTATCTCATTCATGCTTATTGTGCTGCATCTGAATCCCTCCCTCCCCAGACCCCAGACTCCAGGGGAAAAGGTCCTTTCCATCTTGTTCACAGTTGTGTCCCCAGCACCCGGGGCACAGCAGCAGCTCAACATTCGTTGACTGAATAAATGGCAGCAGTTAAGGGATCTACCCAAGGAAAGTCTTTGGTCACTAAGGAGCGTCAGAGCTGTACAGCATCGAGATTGTCATGGAAAGTTTTTGAATGGTTTTTTCCTTACTTGAAAGGAGGGAGGAAAAAACCAAACTATCCCTCCTGGACCTTCTCTACACCACCAAACCCAGGAAAAAGGGAAATAAAGCGCAAGTGTGAAGCAGTGTCACGCCTTCGACCCCAGCTCTGTCCTTGCACTGTGAGCCAGCCCCACCTCCTTCGCGGGGCTCCCCACCGCCTCCGCGGAGCGTGGACTTGAGCGCGGACGCTGGGCGGGACTGCGGCTGTGGGCCCGGCTGTTCGCTCGCTCCGTGTGGGGTCGAGGGGCTCACTCTTCGGCTGCCGTCAGTGTCACCGGGTCTGCATCACCTGGGCGCTCACCTGGGCTGAACAGCAACGCCCAGCCGCCCTTCCCGCCGAGCGGCCTGCACTTGCCACGTGGCTGCTCCTGGCTCTCGAGGCCGGAAGCGGCAGTGACCGGAAGCGGAAGCGCCGGCCAGGCCGGAACGGGCTCTGCGTCCCTTCCTCGGCTTTCTATTGGTCATCGCAGTCACGGCCCGCTGGGATTCAGAGCAGGGGGCGTGGCAAGGCCGTGTCGCGAGGGGGGGCTGCGTGGAGGCGGCACAGTGGGCTCGGGGCCTGTGCTCCCCGCCGGCGCGGCGTCCCACGAGGCTCACGGCCTCCGCCGGCCGCGTCTGCACCTGCCCGAGCTTCGCGGAGCTGCTCGGTGGGCGCGAGCGCCGGACCCGGAGCGGCCCCTCCTCTCCTCCCCCGTCACGGGCAGGCTGTGAGTCGCGCAGCCCTGCGTGACGAGTGGAGAAACCAGTTTGAAGTTTTCAAACCGTTTTATCTTTCGTCTTCGTTTATTTGGTGACCTGGGCTGAATAAGCAATTAACAGCATAAACCAAGTCACTGGGATCCATTTTGCTGGCTACATGGCCTTAAGAAGCAACCAACAAGGAATTTTCTCCTTCAAAAAACACTTCTTATTTGCTCTAAAGCCAGTTTTTGTCTGATGTTGCTTTGGGCTTTGCCCTGTAACCCACTTCCTTAGTTTCCTGACGTGACACCATTTTGAAGATGAAACAGATTGTAGGGACACACCCAGGAGTAAACCACCTGGTCAGGACGCCAAATTGACTTCCCTTTGTTGAGCTGTGTGTGTGTCAGGTTGTATTTGAGAAAAGTGCAAGATGTTTTTAAATGTTTTCTGCTAAGTTTCATAAATTCGCATTTACAACAACAGTTTCATGTGAGTCTTATGTAACCTACCAGCAATCTTAGTATGTGATCATAGTATATCATCAGGCTCATAAAATGTATAGACTATTTTTGAAGTCCTGAAAGGAAGGTGCAGAACTAATGCTATACTCATTTATTAATTACTGAAAAGTTGGATTGGCTCCTCCTCAGACTGTGTTGAATGAAAACATTGTTTAAATTTGTGAAATGTTTATGTGCAATCTAGAGTGTTTTCTGTTAACTCATTCAACAAATATTTATGTTCCAGTTGCTGTTACAGGTGTTAGGATACATCTGTGAACAAACATTTTGCCCTAATGAAAGTTATATCTCAGTGGAGAGATGGGAATGTAGAGAGAACAGTTGGGTTTAATAATGTAACAAACTAGGCAACTAGACAACAAGCTTTAATCTTGGATACAAAGAAAGTATAAGGTGCAATTGAACCATGCATGAAAGATTTCAACAAATACAATTTTATCAACACAAATTCAAATTGTTGTATAATATTTTTATAAGGAAAATCAGTGTAATGTTTTAATAGATTTATTTATATCTTTTTATATGTATATGTAAACACATTTTTAATATTTAATAGATTTACTTATTTTATGTTTTTATTGAAAATTTCTAAACATACACAAAAATAAAAAGTGCAACAGACCTCATACACATCACACAGCTTCAACAATCATCAGTCATCACAATATTTTGCTATTTGTTTCACTAATCCTCACTCTCCTTTTTGCTGGAGTAATTTCAAAGTAAATCCCAAAAATCATGTCATTTCACCTGCAAAAACATCAATTGCATCTCAAATAAACAAATAAATGAAAAAAGACATTTTCTTACTTAACCACAATGTCATTTTTACATCTATGAAAATGTACCATAATTTCTTCATGTCAGCTTGTGCCCGTTTCAAATTCAAACTTCACATATTGTTTAAAAAAGAAAATGTCCTTTCACAGTTGGTTTTATTCCCACCAGGACCCAAACATGGTCCACACATTGTATGTTGTTCCTGTGTCTCTTAAACCTCTGCTTACCATCACAGACCTCTCTCTCAGTCCTCTCTCCCCTTTTGTGTGTACGGATTTGTCCTGTCACTGACGTGTTCAGGTGGCTGAGTCATTCATCTCACAGATTTCCTAAATTCAGATCTGGCTTCCTTGGACTGCTATTTAACTAGTCCTTCTACCATCTGTGTTTCCTGAAAAGTAGAAGTTAGCTCTAAATGCTTGATTAGCTGCAGGAAAAATTTTTTTTCAAAAATATTTAAATAAATAAATGTGAATTTTTTTTTCCAAAATAAGTGAGTGATACTTGTGATGGTTAATTTTGTGTCAGTTTGGCTAGGCCACAGTGCCCAGATATTTAGTCAAACGTTATTCTATATTTTTGTGTGAAGGTATATTTCAGATGTGATTAACATTTAAATCAGTAGACTTCAAGTAAAGCAGATCACCCTCCATAGTGTGGATGGGCCTTTCAGTCGGTTGAAGGCCTTAATAGAAAAAGATTGACCTCCCCTGAGGAAGAGGGAATTCTGACAGCAGACTGCCTTCAGACTCGAACTGCAACATCAACTCCTCCCTGGATCTCCAGCTGCCAGTACCCTACAGAATTTGAACTTACCAGCCTCCACAATCACATAAGCCAGTTCCTTCAAGTCTCTCTCTCTGTCTCTCTCTCCGTCACTCTGTCTCTCTCGATAGAGATGATAGATATAGATATAGATGATATAGATATAGATATAGATAAAGATATAGATATAGATACACACATACATCCTATTGGTTCTATTTCTCTGGAGAACACTGACAAATACAGTACTTTTTAAGGGAATTTTAATGGAAAATATTTAAACAAATATAGCTCCTAGAAATATGAAAAGGGCAACTTGAAACATCAAATTACTATAAATACTGCTGAAAATGTTGAAGTTATGCTTGTCCCCACTTTGTCTCTTCTGCATTCAGACTTAACTTTGATGAATTTTGGAGGTGAACTTTTGTCTTTGGATGGAAAAGAGAGTAAATTGTTGTGGGCTATGGCTGTGTTTTCCTTTTTATTCATTTTAGTAGAAGTCATTTAATATTAATTTTGTCTTAGTACATTAAAAACAAACACATTTCTTCCTGTATGGCTTCACTCAACCTCTACTTATATGTATTTTTTAATGTGTAACCCATTTCCTCTCTATAAAACTGGCAATAAATAAAGCTGCTTTAAGATGCCTCATACAGAGTGCAGCCCACAGTAGCAATAAATGGTAGTGATCATCATTACCACTATCATCATCATCATTCTCACCATCATCACCACCACCACATCCATTATCATCATCGTTGTCCTCCTCATAACTATCACTAAGATCATCATCATCATCATTACCACAACCTACTTTGCTCTGAATCCATGCAGAGCTCCTCACATGGCAGAGAATTCACTCACTTTCAGTGTGAATTCTTAAAATTTCATTTCAGTTTTTTAAAAATGGGACTCATTTCCCAGGCCACACTTACAGTACTCCCAGCTGATGTGGCCAGTCTTCCCCAAAAGCTGACCAACTGCTTTCCCCAGAGGGCCCAGCTCCTCTAGCATTACTCACGGCCCTCTGGGCTGTGTGCAGTGGAGCAGAATAGCTCAAATGAGGTTCACGCATTAGAGAGAAAGCAAGGACTACAGAGCAATGAAGAAGCCTGCCAGTGCCTGCCCATCCCCACCCCTTTCCCAACCCACAAGAGACCTTTTCTTAACACCCGAAATCACCATCCATCACTCCAGGGCCTGTCACAACACATGGTCAGTCTGATGCCTGCCTGGCAGCTGGGTGACCTTGGGGAAACCTCTTAACCTCTTCAAGCTCCATTTATTATTCTGTAAGAGAGGGATAATGTGACTCAGGGCTCTGTGGGCATCCGCATTCATGAGTGTGAATGGGGCTGACTCTAGCAAAGGGCTTAAGAGAGCTCAGTAGAGAGCTGACAAATGGACAGACAGATAGATCAGTGGATGGATGAAGTGTGTCATTTCCCTTGCAGATTCCAAGGCATTTTCATATACTTGATCCTCACCACATCCTTGTGATGTAGGCAGGGGAGGTAAAGTCCCCTTGAAAATAAGGCAACTGTCCCAAGATCCTGGTGGGAGTGGATGGGGGTATTGGTTCTCACAGCAGAGTGCAGTGTATCCTGGTTAATTCTTACCACATTGCAAAGCTGTGGACATGTGTCTTGTGTTAGGTCAGTATGTCTTGCATGAATAATGTATGGACAATTTCTAAAGAAAAAAAATTCTATCTCACTAGTATCAATCTAAATTATTTTTATCATATAACTTATATATTAATACAAACTAAATGTAAATTCAAAACAAATGTATAAATCGAATACCAATAACCCCCAGTGCCTATGGCATTCAGGCTGCAGCATGCCTCCGAAGGCGGGTTCCCATGATGTGCTGTGCAGCCTGGAGGCCCTCCTGCCTCCTTCCTCAGGTCCAGTCCAGGGTCACCTGGCCTTTGCATGAGGTCTACTTTGTACTTTCCTCATTTCCCGTGAAATTAGAGTTGCTCTTCTTGGCACCTGAGTGGTTGTGAACACAAACGCTCACACAGCACTGGTCATACAGCTGGAAGCTGGGACAGGAATTTGAATCCTCAATGGACCCAGGGGGACAAGCCCAGGTCCCACCACTGGACTGAGGGTCACCCAGAAGCAGGGTCCTGAAGGGAGAGTTAAGGCAGCCCCTCTGGGCCCACCAAACAGGAGTGCAAGCTCGTTCTGGAGGTGTGCAGGGCTAAAGCCCCTAAGCCACAGCTCCCTAGTCCAGCCCCTACCAGGCACAACCCCAAGGGATAAACCTGCTCAGAAGGGGACACTGGGTTGAAATGCTATGCATTTTACTTCCTTCACAAAACCCATGAAAGAGGAGGCTGTAAGGGAGGAAGCAGTGAAGGAGGAGGCAGTGAGGGAGGAGGCTGTGAGGGGGGAGGCAGTGAGGGGGGAGGCAGTGAGGGGGGAGGCTGTGAGGGGGGAGGATGTGAGGGGGGAGACAGTGAGGGAGGAGGCCCATGCAGGATCAGTGGGAGGAAAAGAAGGACCCGTGTTTGCACATGGGGAGTCAATCACCAAATTATCTGCTGCCCCTTCTTAAACTGCTCCACAGACAGTGGGCAGAAGTTAAGGGACGTGTAGATCCCTCGGGTTAGCCACGGAGTGCGGCGGCCACCGCTGGACCTGTGGGACATCTGAAAGAGCTCAGTCCCAGGTGCACCAGGGCCGACAATGATTGAGGTGCAGATTGAGAGCGAGAGATTGATCCAAAGTTGGAACTTGACTAAGTTGACCTCCAAGTCCATGTCCAGGCTCCAATTCACTAAAGGAACCTCCAAGAGCCTCCTACTTAAGGAAATCCACAGGGAACATTCCACAGGCAGAGAGCCCACAGGCTCCAAATGGCTCCAAGAGGGCCATGAGCTGTGGAGATTAACTTTGTACCTAAGTGAGGTAGTCTACTGGCCCATGGGGCTCTGGTGATGCAGACCCTCTAGGTCCACCCA